CGGGGAGTGGGGGGGGGGAGAAGGTGGTGGGGGTGGACTGTGGCGCCCCTCCTTCTGGGCAGCGGGGCGGGGGCGGCAATTTGCTCCTCCCGCTTCTCCCTCCCTCTTTGAAAGACCGGGAGGGCTGTGCTTGGGGCGGGGGGGGGGGGGTGTCCTCAGGAAGTTCCTGATGGGACCCCGCTGGGCAGGGCCACCCGGCTCCCGAGCTGCTTTCCAGGGTCCCCTTGGGAAGAAAAGGGTCCGGTGGGCGGTGGAAGAAGGCGAGCGCCCTCCTCCCGCCCCCTGTCCCGTCCCGTCCCTCCTCTTGTCCCCTCCTCCCCTCCCCGCTTAAGAGAGAAAGATCTGCCTCCCCTGCACCGAGCTTCCACCCGGCACCGCGTCTCCCGGCCAGCGCGCGCTTGCGACTTGGGAACCGGCCAAGCGACTTTAAAACCGAGCGGAGGCCAGAGATAGCCGGAATTACCCTCCACACCACACACACACACACACACACAGAGAGAGAGAGAGAGAGAGAGAGAGAGAGAGTTGGCAGCTGTCCATCCCCCACCCTTGGAGTCCCGATGGCACGCACGCGGGGGCTGTCACAAAGAAAGGGAGAGGAATTGAGTGCCAGCCTGAGAAAGGCGAAGCTGCCTCTCTAAAGCATTTTGGTGGCTTTGTAAGTTTGGGGGAAAGGGGTTGGGGGTGTCAATCAAGAATTATATCCAGAATACCCCAAGTGTTACAACTTACCGTATTTGCCGGCGTATGAGACGACTTTTTTGCCTTGAAAAGCATGCCTCCAAGTGGGGGGGTCGTCTTATACTGCGAGTATATAACAAAAACTATATTTTGAGTGGAAATGTTGGGGGCTCGTCTTATACGCCCAGTCGTCTTATACGCCGGCAAATACGGTATAATAAATGTATTCACCTACCAGGATTACAAACTGTTTTAGTTTTAGGTATGATCTACAGTCTCTACTGAAATCTGTCTCAATTCTGAGGGATTGTGTATTCAACGTAGCTAATGGAATTTGCCTCTCAGAATGAGCATGTATACCTGGGTTGACTTCGAATTCATATGCTCCAGCAAGAGAAACACACTTCAATCTTTTCTTATTAATGGTGATTTATTACAAATCTTGATTGTGCCAACAACTGTTGCTATTCAACAAATCCAGCCATCGTTTCAAGTTAGGCAATCTATTGAATGATTTATATTCAAGACACCACAGCTTAAAGAGGACAGGAAAGAATAGCAACTCTGTAATGCACACCATCTTTTGTTCAAAGACTGACGTTCACGTCCACCCTTCAAACTTTCCTACCAGAGGGCTCAGTGATCAAGCCACCCTTAAAGGACAATTCCAGATTCAAGTCTCTGTTAGAAACTCCACCACATCCAGAATGTATGATGATGCACCCATTGCAGTCACTCTACAGTGGCAGTCCACATCTGATGCCCTCCAAATCTCCTTTCGTATGAAAAGGCTGTTTGCCTGAAACCCCCTACCCATCCCCCCCACATACAGGCTAAGATGCGTCCCCTTAAGATTACCATATTGGCCTAAAGAGACGCGGGTGACAATGGGGAGAAAAAGCCAAAAGTATGTCAACTGCCTTGGCTCAAAGAGAGAGATGCCAGGTCGGTTGTGTGACGATTCCAGTTGAAAAGCACTCTCTGCACAAGGACAGAAGCACTCTCCTCCTCCTCCAGCAAACTCCTCCATATTTTTTGAGAAGTGGGAAAAGAAAGAAACGTGCAGTTTGTTACCCGGAAACTTTCCAATTGGAGGCTGACCGAATCTAGCCAGGATTATATGGACGGGAGCTTGGGGGGGGGGGGGGGGATTCGAGGAAAGTCCGTGTTCCCTTGTTTCTGCTGCTGGGTCCCAATTCCAAAGGAGGGTGAATAATGGTGCCACCAAACAGGTCCGCTACCCGTTCTTGTGGAAGGGGACCCTCTGCCCACATTCATGGAGGGGGGTCCTTTTCCCATATTCATGAAGTGTGTGTGTGTGGGGGGTCCTTCCCGTGTCTTTGTGTTGGGGTTGCTCTCTGCACATGCTGAGGGAGGGAGCCCTCTGCCCTTGTGTTGGGGAGACCTCTCTGCCCCCCTCTCTCATGGAGGGGGGGGGGTGTCTCCTTTTGCCCATACTGGTGGAGGGGTGCCCTTCCTCGTATTGGGGGGGGATCTTTGCCTGTACTGGTGGAGGGAGAGAGAGGGTGCCTTGTCCCCCTTGCTCGTGGAAGGAAGACCCTC